GGGCGGGGCAGCCCCTGGCCGTGCCGCCGCCGCAGCCACCGGGCGATCTCCAAGCGGCGATCTCCAAGCGCCGCTCGGCTCGGCCGCGGGCCAGGAGGGGAGGGTCCGGCCTTGCCCCGCAGACGTCCATTGGCGGCTTCCCCTGGCCTCCGCGCCATGCCGCGGGCCGTGTGAGCCGGCGTGGGCTCGGGAGCCCGCAGGTGTCCGCGGGCGCGCCAGGCCCGGTTGGGGAGGGGGCGCTGCGCTCGTCATGCTGCAAGGGCCCCGAGCCCTAGCTCCCGCGGCTGGGCCGCCCCTCAAGGGGCTGCCCGCGATGAGCCCCACCGAGCTGTGGCCGACCGGCCTCAGCAGCCCCCAGCTCTGCCCGGCCACCACCACCTACTACACTACGCTGTACCCGCAGACTGTGCCTCCCGCTGCGGCGCCGCCGGGCACCTGCCTCGACGCCACCCCTCACGGACCCGAGAGCCAAGTTGTGCGATGCGTGCCGGCTGGCCGGCTGGCGGTAATGCTGGGGACCCCATCGCTTCCACCTACGCTTTTCCGGGTGTGGGAAAGGAGGGAGGGGCGCCTTGGACCCGGTTTGAGTGAAGCAGGTAGAGTTTGGGGAGGGACAAGGGGAGTTTTCGGCTTCCCGAACAACCATTGCCCCCCATATCTGAGTATTTCATTTTCAGACTTGGGATGAAATAACCCCATCCATTGGAGTAAAGTGGAATGAGCACTGGATTGGGAGGGTGGAGACCCAACCCACTACCCCCAGTGCACTGTGTGACCTTGGGGAAGTCCGCAGAGCCAGCTTTGCCCACATTCATTCATTCATTCATTCATTGTTTGGCCCAGAAACCAGTACAAGACACCTGCTATTGTCCAGGTACAGAGCTTGGCCTGAGGATACTGTGGGGACTTTAAAACGGAGGGGAGGTCTCTCAGGTCCAGTCTGGCTTGGACAGACTCCAAATTTTCCATCCAGCCTACTCCTTCCCAATTATCTGCCCTAGGTCCTCCCCCAGGCCCAGTCTTCCCTTCCAGACAGCCAGTAGCAGGTGCAAGTTGGAGGCAGCCCCCTGGAGTTCTTGTTCAGAATGATTGTTCCCTCCTTAAGCCCCCAGGCGCATTGCCAGGGAGGGCCCGAACTGTGGTGGCACCAGGCGCAGGGTGTGTTTTGTGGGAGTGGAATTCCTGGAGCCCATGAGAATCGAAACAACTATAGGGTGGGGTTGGTGTGGGAACCGCTGTGAGGGAGTGGCATGGTGGTTGGGGAGCCTAGTTTCTGGTCCTGACAGCCACTAATTCACTGTGTGTCCTTGGACAAGTCTTGGCTCCAGTCTGGGCTTCAGTTTCCTTTTCTTGAAAATGTGTGTGTGCATGGTAGCTGTGGGGCTAACTCAGGTCACTTGCAGCTCCAGGTTCTGGGTTGTGGAAGCAGGCTCCAGGGAGCGGAGAGGGGCGTGTTGTAGGTTTGCTTAGTTGTGAGTGATGAATAAGTTCAGGGACAGGGATAAAATCACCCCCCACTGCCCTAGAGGCATCTGGTCAGACCCGTGTCAGACAGCAGGCACAGACCCCCAGCCATCTCTGGAGGCAGGCAGAGCCCCCACTCCCTGCTACTGGAATCATGCTTTGCCCATGCTCAAGGCTTTAAGCTCCCCAGAGCCCCTTCCTGCACAGTATTTTCAGCTAAGAGGAAGGAGTGCTGGTCCCATTTTACAGGTCAAGCAGCCAAGGATAACCAGGACTGAGGATCTATCTTGTGTTCAGCAGTTTACAGCCTAAAACAGTTTTGTACCCTGTGAAGTAGATGGTATTAGTAGCTTCATATTGCAGGGGGAAACTGAGGCTCAGAGAGGGGATGTGACCTGTCCAGGTCATACAGAGAGATGTATGACCCATAGGGCATTGATCATTAGTGTCTTCTCTGCAGCCTTGACTTTCCCCAGTGCTGCCTGTCTTAGGAGCTGGGTGCCCCCAGGAAAGGGGCTCAGTGGCGGGCGATATCCTCTGGCCAGCTGCCTTCAGGCGCTCAGGCGGAGTTTCAGTAACAGCTGTGGTTTTGAACTGCTTGCCTCCCTGAGAAGCCTGAGTGCATCTGTCTGTACCTCCCTCCCAGAGGGGCTCAGTGATCACAGCAAGAATGGCTCTCTTTTACTGAACGCCTCTCATGTGCCAGGCACTGCTTGGCACTCTTATTTGTTATCTCCGTCAAGAAGCCTGGGATGAGGCATCTTACAGATGAGGAAACTGAGCAGAGACGTGAAGTCACTTGTCCAAGTCATAAGCCAAGAAGTAAGAGAGTCTCCTTGCCTCAGACCACCCTAAAGGCAACCAGGCCCAGAGCTCCCTCTCCTGTCCGTCCCCAGATGCCCGTGCCCCCCACCCCCGTGGGCAGGCCTTGGCCCGCTGCTTACTCATTTCACCAGGGTGTGACCTGGAACAGCTCCAAACCCAACCCTGGGTGTGGCCACTTGCTTTGCGGCCAGGCTGCAAAGAGCAGGGTGAGCAGGATTTGTTGGGGAGCTGCTGTTTAAAGGGAACTCAGGCACTGCCCAGGGATGGCAACCAAGTTCAACTGCAGAATAAAGGCCAGAGCCCAGGTCTCCTGGCTCCCTGTCTAGCGCTCCTCCACTACCCTCTGGCGAAGGCTTGGGATGCTCTCGTTGAGTAACTGCTCCGGCCAGGCGCACGGTGGGATTCTGCACAGTTCTCCTTTCCTTTTCATTTGTCTGTATTTTTTAATTTTCCTCTGAGAACCATGAAAGAAAATGAACATTTTAATGAACAACCCTACAAGATGGGTCAGATGAGCATATGCAGGCTCAGGGAGGCCAGGCAGCGAATCCCAGGCTACTGAGTGGCAGAGCTGGGATCTGAAAGCCAGGCTCTCTGACACCTGCTCCTACCCTACCATCTAACTTAAGACTTGGGGCTCAGGGGAGACCTGGCTACACCCCCTGTGTGACCTTGGGCCTGACAGTTCCCCTCCTCCAAGCCCCAGTTCCCTCACCTAGGTACCTGTAAGGGAGTTGTGTCTGGTGGTCTCTGGCCCTCCCACCTCTGGGGCTGCCGGAGGAAGGAGCACTGCTCTTCTCCCTCCAGGTTGGCCGGGTGGGCTCAAATCCTAACCAGGCCTTTTAAGAAACAGCCAAAGGGGCTGCCTGAGAGGGTGCAGGGTAGAGCCACGCTGGCCTTTGCTCTCGGCACATCCCTTCTCTTTTCAGCTCCCCTCTGAACTTTCCCCTTGCTGGGGCCCCTGGCACTTGAGTGACAGCAGCTCCCCTGCGTGAGCAAAGCACTTTGCTGTCTCACTGAATCCTTGGCAGAGGCTGAGCAGATTATCCCCTTTTTACAGGTAAGGCTCAAGAGGTCAGCTGATTTCCCAGCTCACCAGCCTAGATGGGAACCCAGGCGGGTCTGACCTCAAGGCCTATGCTCAGCCTCTCCTTGGTCCTCATCCTCCTGGGCTTGTCCTCTGCCACCTCTGCTCCACAGGCGCAGGCCCATCCACGGGCTGACTTTTCTCTGGACAGTGCCCAAAGGTGTCAGGGAGATGTCCTTGGGTGGGGGACACTTTGCTGCTTAGGGACCCTTGGAGTACAGGATGAGGGTGAGGGAGAGTAAGAGAAGGGAGCAGGCTGGGTGTGTGTGAGTGAGTGTGTGTGTGTGTAAAGTGATGGGAGCAGGTGGGCATAGCCAGGCCTTGGCTCAAATTCTAGCAAATTCTGGGGCAATGTGTGTGGGATGGAGCTGAGGCAGCCTCGTCCTTGGCTTTGGAATCAGACAGACCTGGGTTTAAACTCTGGCTCTGTCCTTTGTCTGTGTGACCTTGGGCATGTGGCTTAACCTCTCTGAGTCTCCATTTCTCTCCTGCCAAGAGATAATGCCAATACTGCTATTGCAGGACTGATGAACATGTGATAGGCCCAGTACAGGTCCTCTGTTTAAGGTCCTCCCCTTCTCCCCACTCTGCAGGTAGTGAGGTTCTTCCTGTTGTGTTCTGTGAACTCAGCAGGGGCAGGCTCCTGGCAGGTGGGGTTGGGGAGATTCTGGGCTGCCCCACCTCTGCCTCAGGTGGAAGTCAGCCTGACTTCCCTTCCTCTCCCTGCCCTTGGCATCCCCTCTGAGGGGTGGATGAAGGATCCTGGGATGGACAACCTCTATCAGGACTGCTTAAGGCCTTGGAGCTCACCAAGTCTCAGTTCCTTTGGCTGTAAAGTGGGGATTCGTGGTGCTGGGAAGATTCAGTGAGGTGATGAATGTTGGGGCTTGGCCCAGGGCATGTGGCAGGTCTCAGCAAATGGTTGGGCCTTTCTCCAGAGACAAGATGAGACTAGAGCAGGTCACCTTCCCTAGAATTTAGAATCTCACCAGCTGGGAGGTTATAGGAGGAATATTCCAGAGAGACTTCAAGAGGAATGGATCATGTCCAGGTCTGGGTAGGGGTGGAGGAGAGGAGCATCATATCCAGGCTCCTCAAATCAGTCCAGGAAGACTTCCTGGAGGAGGCAGGAGGGGGAGGAGGGGAGCTGATAACAGGAAGAGCTGTCACCACCTCCCGCACCTGTCAGCCCAGCTGTGCTCAGCAGCGGTTAGAAGTCTCAGCCCTGCGAGCATGACCTCACCACCAAAGGTTAAAATAGGCCTCTGTATCCCAACCAGGGGAGGTGTGACTGGGGGAGGGGGAGAGGAAGGAAATGGGCTCAGTGACCCCCAGAAGGGTGTGTCAAAGAAGAAGCCAAGATTGGAAGGGACTCTGCATTTCCTGCACACCTACTGTGTGCTGAGCCACAGGCTGAGCACGTCACAGAAGTTATCTCCTTGAGTCCTTACAACAGCCCCTTGAGGGAGGTATTTTCTGCCCCATTTTACAGAGGAGGAAACTGAGGCTCCTAGATGTGGAGCATTTCCCCAGGTCACACGGTAAGCCCGCAAAGGAGCTGGGAGAGTCAAGCCTGGGGCTCTGACCTGTGCCCCAGTGCCCCAGTGCCCCAGCCCTGCCCCTGCCCAGCCCTACCCAGGAGAGAGGCCCCTTCCGGGCCAGCGCAGCCTCTGGGCCTAATTGGGGCCGGGTGGCAGTGGGGTGGAGAGGAACAGATGGGTCTGTGGTTTGATTTCCCCAGCAGGTGTTTCCCAAGCTTGGCGGGAACAGGGAGGGGGGGCAGGGGGACCTCAGCTGCTAGTCCTTAAGACACAGGGGAAGGATTCATTGTCTGCCCCTCTCAGCAAAGAAAGAATGGCAAATGGAGTCTATTCAGGAGGCCCTGGGGCCCTTGAGCTGGAGCCCAAACACAGTGGGGGGGGGGGGTGTTTGCACTGCTTCCCGATGTGGGCACCTCCCTGGGGTGTGGCACAGAGCCAGGAAGTCCCCTGGGCCTGGGCGGATGCCCAGCCCCACCCTGATAAGGGCCAGCTGTAGGGCTGTGATGGGCACACGGTCTGGCTGACCCAGCTGCTTCTGTAGGGGGGGCCTCTCCCCAGCCTGATGTGGTTTAGGCCCCACCCACTTCTTCCTCCCTGCATTATCTCCGGGGTGTGGGGGGGAGGAGGCAGATGTAGAAGTGACCTTGGGGCCTGTAATTAAGGAAGCCTGAGCTCTTGGCCAGACTAGCTATCGTAGGGTCTCAAGTGCCGGGGCTTCAGAGGATGGGAGTGTTGTGTGCCCCTCAGAAAACAGGACTTTCTTCCCCTGAAAGCTCACTTTTCAGGCCGCTGATATTTCCTCACCAAGTACAGTGATGTTTCACCAGGACTGGTGGTAAACTGAGGCAGGAGGTGGCTGCCGGTAGCCTCAGTACTTTGGCTCCAGGTCAGGGAAAGGCTGAGGAGGAATGATTCTCAAACTCTGCCTCTCTCTCCCTTCTCTCTCCAAGGCCAAAAGGAAGCTGGACCTGGAGGGAATCGGGAGGCCTGCGGTCCCTGAATTCCGGACTCCCAAGGGGAAGTGCATTAGAGTCGATGGCCTCCCCAGCCCCAAAAGTAAGCCGCACTGATGGGGCATCTAAGGGCAGGCTCAGGAGACTGGGGGTGGGGTGAGTGGGGGCAGAGGGCAGCAGCCCTGCCCAGATCATCAGGAGTAATATTTGTAGCACACTTCCCAGTTTACAAAACAGTTTCCCGTGCCTTCTCTTGCTGAATCCTGCCAGGTGGGTAAGATTATCCCCCTTTCACTGCTGAGGCCGCTTGAGACTCAGAGCGTGAGTGACTTCTTGCCCAAGGTCACATTGCCAGTAAGTGGAGTCAGGACTATAACCCACTCTTGCACAGCTTCTCCCGCACATACACCACTCCCATGATCTGAATGTGATGACCAACGTTTTATTGGGGAGCTTACTCTTTTTAAAACGTTTTTCTATTTAGTTCAATCTGACCTTTCCTACAAGAGAATCTGGCTCAGAGACGAGTGGGGGCTAACCAGGGTCATGCAGACAGAGAGCTAAGTAAGAGATTCAAAGGGGAGTGAAGCTTGGATTCATCCAACCCATGCTACCTCAGAGGTTTCTCAGATCCGGAGGCTGCCCAGGTGGTGACTTCCTAAAGCTAAGTTGAAGGGAATTTCTGCCGCTTGATATTTTCAGACAATATTCTGGTTAGAGCGGGAGTTAGCAACTGGGTTAGGGAGGAATACTAATTGGGGGGTCAGAGACTTAATGAAGAAGGTATGTGACTGGGTGGGAAGCGTGAGGGTCAGGAATTTGGGGGTCTGGGCAGGGCTCTGCCCTGACCTGACTGGTCACTCCTCTTCTGTGAACCTTAGTTGTCTCATCTGTAAAACGTGGTACAGTTAGATCAGGAAGGGCAAGAAAGCTTCCTCCAATTGATTGGTAGAGGCTGCCCAGAGCTCTTTATTGAAGGATCCTAGGTGCACTAATCAATTAGTAATGTCTGCCATGGATGCAAAACTTGACAAAACAGTCTATTTGCCAAATGCTTGCCATCTGTATTTTAACAGATTTGAAAGTCCCCTGCCAGAGGAATCTGAGACTCTCTAAAACTCAGTTTCCAGAACTAGGTTGGCCACTAACTTGCTATATGACTTGCAAGTCACTTGATTGCAAAAGTCCTCTTGTGGTTTAAGATGCTGCAGCTGAGATGTGGTCTTGTGACACTGACCTCATTAAGAAAGGGACCTTTTTCATGAACCTTCCCCATTTGATGTTATAGGACTGATTCCTCTCAGATAATCATTGGGCTACACATGGAAAGAAAAAGCACATCTATAAAAATGTTCTTGAATCCAAGCTCATCATTCCCTCCTTACTCTAATTCCAAATTCCTGACGTAACTGGCAGGATAGGGTAATGGTTAAGAAGGAAGACTCCGGAGGCAGACTGCCTGGATTTAAATCCCAGCTTTGCCACTTTCTAGCTGAGGAAGTTACTTAACCTGTCCACCTCAGTATTCTCATCTATAAAATGGGGATAATTGTACACCAACTTTATAGAGTGTGGTAACGATTACATTTGTTGTATATGGAAAGTGCTTAGAACAGTGACCTACACACGGTAAGCATTATTGTTGGTGGTGGTGTTGGTATGGCTGCCCGAAGCCGTGGTGGAAGGGTGCTCTGAACCAGGAGTTAAGATGCTCGGTTTCCAGTCCTGACACTGCCCCTGACTGTGAGACCCTAAGCAAGTCCCTTTCCCTCTCTAGGAATCAGGTTCCCTGTTTGGACAATGGTGGTGAATGACCCCTGTCTCACAGTGCTCCATAAACTGGAAAGGGGGTGGTACTTCATGGGTCCAACTCAATGGAGGAGGTTTCCCAGACTGGCCCTCTCTGAGCAGTGACCGGGCCCCTCTCCTCCTCAGCCCCCAAGTCCCCAGGCGAAAAGACTCGGTATGACACGTCACTGGGGCTTCTCACCAAGAAGTTCATTTACCTCCTGAGTGAGTCCGAGGATGGGGTCCTGGACCTGAACTGGGCTGCTGAGGTGCTGGATGTGCAGAAGCGGCGCATCTATGACATCACCAACGTGCTGGAGGGCATCCAGCTCATCCGCAAGAAGGCCAAGAACAACATCCAGTGGGTGTGAGTGCCTGGGGCAGGGCTGAGAGCAACATCCAATGGGCACACGTGCTGGGGGCGGACCAAGAGCAACATCCAATAGGCTTACATTCTGGGGGCGGAGCTAACGTATTTAAGAGGCAGTGGAGGAGCAGGTGTACCTGCTGGAGTAATGTTAGGAGAGCGTGGCAGAGGCAGGATGGAGGATGATTTCTGGGGTGTGTAACGGCTTCAGAGGATCCCAAGATTCCTCTTTTCTAGCTTAGGAAAGTCCCCTGGGAGCTGAGCGGTAGTAACCCAGACTCCTTCCAGCTCTGAGATGTAAGTAGTCCAGACTCCCTTCCTCACTTCTAGACACACAGTCTGAAAGAGCAGGCCTGCGAGCCGCGGCATGCACCATGGGAGAACCCAGGCAGAGGAGTCAGGACGGAGGTCACTCCAGCTCCTGCCGTTTAGGGGAGCCTGGGGCATAGGGTGGACAGAGTTGAAAGCCACGCAAAAGTGGAGTCAGGCCTGACTTGTTTCTTTTCCCTAGCCCAACACCTAAACCTCAAGTTCCAATCCCTGGCAGCTCCCTGGGAGCTAGGCAGGAGCACTGGTTTGCACAACCCAGGGGGCACGGCGTAGACCACGTGAATGGCCTCATCCTGGAGTTTTGCCCACACCATCTGTGCGGCTTTACACGGCAGCCCTGGGGTTGGGGTCCCTGGATGTGGACTGAGACTGATACTGCGGGGCTGCTCTGTTCCCAGAGGCAGGGGAATGTTTGAAGACCCCACCCGGCCTGGGAAGCAGCAGCAGCTGGGGCAGGAGCTGAAGGAGCTGAAGAGCATGGAGCAGGCCTTGGACCAGCTCATCCAGAGCTGCTCTCTGAGCTTCAAGCACCTGACCGAGGACAAGGCCAACAAGAGATATCCTCTTTGGCTGGGGGGAAGGAGGCAGGCAGCAGGGACCTGTTGCATGCTTGCATTTATTCAGAGTTGATGTGGTACTTCCCTGCAGGGGCTAACTCACCCTGGGGTCTGGTATATCTGCTTCTTCCTTCCTTCATGGCTTTTCCTCTTGAGTCTGTTGGAGTTCTCATTACAAAAATAAGACAAATACGTTTTTTTAGATATGGAAAATGGAGAAAAGAAAGAGCTGCTGCCTTAACACAGCCATTGTTCCTTAACTATGTACAGGGCGTGTGTTAGTCTGCGGCCACTGTACATAACATTTTATATCTTGCCTTTCTCCACTTAGTATATTACCATAGACTTTTTATATTGTTATATGTCCTTCCCAACTATTCGATTGATCCACATGAAATTGCTGATATTGGACCATCTTTTACCTACAAAAACAGCAATTTCATATGGTTTAAACTCATTTTATTTGGTTTGAGAATGTCCTGCTCAGACTATACTCTGGCTTATTGATAAGGCCTAGAATGGACATTTAGGTCGATTCTAGATCTCTGCTTTCATAAAGCAACATTGTGATGAATATTTTTGTGTATAGAACATTTTCCCAAATTTTTTACTTATTTCCCTAGGTTGGATTCCTGGGATCGAAACAATGAGGTCAAAGAGCATGGACTTTGCTAAGGCTTTTCAAACATTTTTCCCAAATGGTTTCACCATCTAATTGGTTTTCGGATCTGACCTTGTATTTTTGGAAGGATGCTAGGTGTGAGAAATATAAAGAAATAAGATATGTCTTCCTGCCTTCTCAGAGCTAATGATCTAGTTTGAGACATGAAGATTTTATGTAAAAAGCTGATATAATGCAGCAATTTTTTTAATGGTTTATACCCCTATTTGCTTTCCAAAGGGATCCAAAGTAGCTTATGACTTTAAAAGAACAGGTTACAGTTTTTGGTTATTTCTAAGCTGTGTAAGGAGTGCGAAAGATATTCAGAGGCTTAGGATAGGTGGGGGTTTGAATTTTGACCAGTCACTTCTCTTGACTCTCTTGCCCCTACACTGGCCTATGTGACTTACCAGGACATCCGTGCTGTTGGCAACTTTAAGGAACAGACAGTGATCGCTGTCAAGGCCCCTCCGCAGACAAGACTGGAAGTGCCCGACAGGAACGAGGTGAGAGGGGAAGCATTGGGTGGAGAGCAGGGTTAGGAGGGTCCTGGGCAGCTGTGCAGGCTCTGTCCCTGGCACTGCCCAGCCCCAAGCTTCCCAGGTCCATTCTGGTGCCCATGGCAAGATTGGTGGTCTCTGAGCTGGGGCAGAAATGGCAGAAGCTGGAAATGATAACAAGCATCAGGTTCTGGCCTGAGAAAATCTCTGTTCCTGGTTTCTTTCTGTGTCCCCCCAGCCGCTGCGTTCCTGCAAACACACACTTGTGTGCCCACACACAGCGGTGTTAGTACTTACAATAATCCTTTCATGTGAACCATGCTCTCCTACGTTGAAGACCAAAATTCTTAACACTTCCTACAAGGCCCCCTGTGCTCTGACCTCACCAACCCCCATCGCATGCTGCCCCTTTCTGTCTTTGCTTCAGCCACACTGACCTGCCTGCAGTTTCTCCGCCACACTAAGCTTGTCCCCAATACAAGACCTTCACACATGCTGTTCCCTCCAGCTGAAATGCTCTTCCCTTTATCTGCCTGGTTTACTCCTATGCATCCTACAGGTCTCAACTTGAATATCACTTCCTCAAGGAAGCTTTCCCAGATTACCCCCAGACTTCATAACCGCCTTGCTTTCTACCACACTTAACCTCCGTTTGCTGGGATATATTGGTGATTACATGATTATGTTCAGCTTTGTCTATTAGTCTGTGGGCTCCCTAAGAACATACTCCACTCACGTGGTACCCCCAGCCCAGAGCCAGACACGTAATACAGGCTCGAGAATTAATTTGTTTAATGGAAGAACATTAAGATAAATGAGGCCCCACCCCTGCCTTGGAGGAGCTCAGGCCCTAGTGGGAAAAAGACCCCAGCAAGCAGTGATGCTGTCATTCATAGACCGAAGATGTGCTTTCAGGGCCCAGAGAAACGACAGTTGGAGGAAGAGGCCACAGGTGGTGACAGTTAAACTGGGTCCTAAAGAATGAGTAGGACTTTTGCCAGGTGACGTGGGGGTGGGTGGAGGGGACTGCGTGAGCACAGGCATGGAGACTGGAGCGCATGGGGAAGGGCGTGTGTGCACTCAGTTGTGGCTCAAGCTGCGGGTCTGTGGTAGGGAAGAGGCAGGGCTGCGAAGGCCAAGTATCAGGACTCTTGGTTACTAGTAACAGAAAGCCGAGTCCAACTGGCTTAAGTGAGGGGGGTGGCAGGGAGAAGCTAAGTGACAGGTCCGGGGGAAGATTTGGAGATTGCAGGCAACGCTGGATGCAGGGGCTCGAACTATGAGTTTAAGTCTGCCTCTCGCTCTCCGTCTCTCCCTCTGCCGTTCTCTTTGCTGACTCCATTCCCAGGCGGGCTCTCGCCTTGCCGTGGCAAAGATAGCTTTTATGACACCGGCTCAGCACCCCCAATGGGAGGGAGCTTCCATTTCCCACACGTCCTGAGCCAGATGCTGATCGGACTGACCTGAGTCATGTGCCACCCTGAACCCCGGTCACCGTCACTCTGACTCCCAGCCTGCATCCCAAGCTCACCCATTGGAGTTGGAGAAGGGTGCTGCCCCTGCCCCCCAAAACTATATGACCCGAGAGTGGGGGAGGAGTGACTTCCCAAAGGGAAATCAAGGTATTCTCCCTAAAAGAAGGGACCTGGGGGCCAGACAGGCAACAAAGCAGATGTCCACAGGCCAGAGGGGCAGCCCCGGGGCCCAGCTCAGGAGCTGAGCTTCCTCTCATGGACGGTGGGAGCCACGTGTGTCCGTCCATATTCACTGACCCATGAGTAAGTGTCCAGCTGCCCAGAGCCATGACCTGGCTTCTCTTCCTCCTCCAGGAGAACCTGCAGATATATCTGAAGAGCACGCAGGGGCCCATCGAAGTCTACCTGTGCCCAGAGGAGGTGCAGGAGCCAGACAGTCCTGCCAAGGAGCCCCTCCCCTCCACCTCCACCCCCAGCCCTGACTCCGCTCAGCCCAGCAGCAGCACCAACCCTGGGATCCCGGAACTCGCGGCATCCCCAGGTAGGGCTCTGTCCAGAGGGATAGGAGGTGGGGAGAGCAACCAGCCTTACGGTTTCTCCTTCCACGTCAACATTCGTTGGATGCCTACCTTCTGCCCAGCAGCAGCGGGTACAGCCCTTCTTCCCCACATGTGTGCCTCACACTTTACACTCTATAAAGCACATGTGCATTTCTTGTCTCACTGGCAGGCTGATGCTGCTCTGGGGCAGAGTGGGGCCTGGGTTTGAAGCCCACTTCTTCCCTTTACCAGCTGTGTGACCTTAGACAAGTTACTTAACCTCTCTTTGCCTCAATTTCCTCATCTGTAAGTTGGGCATAGTAATGAATAGTATCTACTTCATAGGTTGTTGTGAGAACGAAATGAGTTAATATAGGGAAGCTCTTAGAAGGTGCCTGGCAGTAACTGTTCGCTGTTATTACCATCATTACCGCCACTGCCGCGAGTCCTGCTGCTTCCATGACGACTGCTCAACAAGCCCACAGTAAATGGAAACTATAGGTGTTTTGAGGAAGGCTCAACACTTTCTTGGGAGATAATAATGGGGTTTTTTGAACCACGACTGTACCAGCCACATCCATTTTCACATGACTCCCAGCAGTTCTTGGGGTGAGTTCTCTTATTGCCAGTCTAGAGATAACTGAACTGAGCAGAGAGGTGACATGACTTGCCCGAGGTCTCCCAGCAGGGAGGACACAGAGCTGTGTCTTGAACGTCGGTCTCCACACTCCTGGCCCAGTGCTTTCTCCACAAGGCACAGAACAAATCAAGGAAGGGACCCCGGCTGGGGGTGGACGGTACAGCTAAAAGATAGCTATGCCCGGCAGGAAGGAGCATGAGCCCGTCGCAAGGGAGCAGAGGCAGGAGAGGTCCCTGAGGGCTTCCCAGGGAGGGCGGGAGTCTGGAAGGAATAGAAATGGGAGCCGGTAAAGGCCCCTCCCCCAGAATGGTTTTTGCCATTTACTGGGGTCACACATCAGGTCAGACCAGCAGGCTCCTTCCAGACCTTGTAGGCCCATGTCCCACTTCCTGTTTTCTTAGCGGTAGAATTCCCTTAGTAGAACCCTAGCGTTTAAACAAACACAGAGCTAGAACTGGTCTGATGGAGGAGGTTTGGTGGGGGGGTTCTACAGAACACAGGTTGGATTCCATTTCTTTAACTCATAGGTTGACAAAGTATTGCCTGCAGGCCAAATCTGGCCTGTTTTTGTATGAGCCATGAGCTAAGAATGGTTTTCATATTTTTAAAGAGTTGTAGGGGAAGAAAAAAAAGAAAGTGACCATTTGACAGAGACCACACCTGTCCTGCAAAGCCTAAAACACTATCCAGCCCTTTACTGGAGTTTGCTGGACCCTAATATAACTCAACCCTTCATTTTACACATAAGTAAACTGAGGACCAGAGAGGGCAAATGACTTCCCCAAGGTCACACAGCAAGTTGGTGCTAGAGCTTGGGAAAGAGCCCAGACTCCTCTTCTTTAGTGATCTCACCTGTGTCCTGGCCTCATCCAGAGACCAGGGCTTCTCCCTGTACAGCCATCTGTTCCTCTGGGCACCTCCCAGTGCCTATCTGCCCCTCCAGACCTGTGCCCCACCCTATTCTCCCTCCTCCTGCACTCTGCCTTCTCGCTCTGCTGTCAACATGTGCACGGCTCTCCAAAGTTAGAACCACTTTCACTTTGGTTGTCCTCTGAGACCTTGGGCGGAGGGGGGCACCCTGCCACGTAAGCGAGGGCGAGATTTTTACCTCGGTTGTACAGATTGAGAGTGTGAGGCCCGAAAGGAGTAGAGGCGTGCAGAGCAGTTGCTGGTGAAAGCACAGAAGCCGGCTCTGTGCCAGGGTCCAGGCCATGGCTGCCCCCTCCACCCTCACCATGTGGCCTCTTAGTGTTGTCCCTGCTGAAGGGAGCAGGAGGAAGTTTTCTGGAAGGTGTGCACACACCCACACACACCCCCATGTTCTGGCCTGAAGCAGAGTCATTGTGAGGTGTGGGTGCAGGGGCCACGCCCAATGAAGAGCCTAGTACAGTCTTGAGACCCGGTTCTGTCCCTCGTGCTGACATCACCAGGGGGATTGCTAACCCTTTGGGGCCTCAGTTTCCCTCATCTGTAATGGAAGGGGTTTGAACAAGAGTCATCTCTGACATCCCTCCAGGCGCTGACATTCCGAGGTAAACCTAAACGTGGTCGACGGGGCAGGAGTGGAAATTGGGGGACTCGATTTGAGTCTGCACCTCACCCCCTATGACCTGGTGACTGTAGGCGAGTCCTTTAACCCCTCCAAGCCCCTGTCCCCACATGTCTAACACAGGGACACTTGAAACTCCCTCATGATTAGGGGATGGGTTTTAGGAGATGATACAGTGTGAATATGATTTTTTAAAAAGCTTATGTGAACTGAGCACCTACTATGTGTGGTTTTGGAGATACGGAAGTGAATACAGGCTATTCAGAGTGCGCTGGAGACACTGATATTATAAAGGGCAGTTTTCTTCTGGATGTGATCAATGGCGAGAGAGAGAGCAAGGTCCAGCCTGTAGCAGAGGCAGTCATGTGTGTTATCTGTTACTGCTTCCAGCAACTCAAGAAGGTGGATCCTTATTTTTCCTTGTGTGAAAAAATGTGGCACTGGGTCCTATAGCCAGTGAGAGGTGGGGCTGGGGTCTGAGCCCTCGTCCTCCGTGCTCCCAAGCCAGGCCTCTTACTATAACAGCTGCACACCTCTGCAGTGCACTGAACAAACATTCGATTTTTTTTCATTCAAATACATTTAATTGACTTCTTTGAGCCTCAGTTTCCTTATCTGTAAATAGGGTTAACAGCATTGCTGCTTGAGTGTCCTTAGGAGCAGAGCCAGGCCCCAGTAAGCCCTTGGTAAATAGGAGCCATTCTTATTATAGACAAGGGCGTGCAGGCCCAACGTGGGGTTTCTGCAGACCAGCTGCTCTTTACCTGCACGTACCTTTTAATCCTCTCAACAGCCCTGTGAGGTGGGTATAATCATCATGCCCATTTTAGAAGTGAGGAAACAGAGGCTCATGCACATTAAGTCACTTGCCCACAGTTACACACCTAGTAAGAGGTTGACCAGGCGGTCTGGCATACTACACAGTTGCATTTTCAAACGATGCTTGGTTGGGGTTTAGGGAATGACTCAAATGGTGAGACTGTGGGCATCAGGATTTATGTGGCAGGGGATTTCCAGTTCCCTGTTCCACATCCCTGTAGGAAACCACCTTCTTACCTCTGAGTACAAACGAGCTTAGTGTTCTGAAGAATAGCTGCTGGCCAGTGAGGCTGGCGAGGTTGAGTGTGAGCTGTGGGGGAAGGTGGGAGAGGGAGGAGAAAGGCAGGCAGGGGCCAGGTCACACAGGGCTTCCCCAGCCCTGGTTGGAACTTGGATTTTATTCTAAGCCATGTTTAAGTCAGCGCACAGACTGCAAGGGGCAGGAGTAGAAGCAAGGTGACTCCTTGGTAAGGTGGCTCCCGCTGTGGCCTTGGTGAGAGAGGAGGGGGAGGACCAGGACCACAGCAGGGCAACTAAAGAGAATTGGGCAGCATGGAGAATTCATTTGGTTGTGGAGCTGGCCACACCTGGATTGAACGCAGGGGAAATGGCAGGGTTACAGTGATTCTTGGGCCTTTTGGCCGAGGCAGCTGAGTGAGTAGTGGTTCATTAATTGTGATAGGGAGACGAGGGGAGACGCAGGTTTAGGGGAAGACCAGGAGTTTGGTTTTGACATGCTGAGTTCTGATGTAGCTTAGACATCCAACTAGAGATGTTACAGGAGGAGTCATGCCGGAGCCCAGAGCTCGGGAGGATGTCCTTGCCAGAGGTGAGCACTTGGGAGCAGTAGGTCTAGGGATTTAAAGCCACAGGGCTAGCTGAGCTCTCCTGGGGAGGAGCAAGCCAGAGGAGAGAAGAATCTGAGGATGGAGGCCTGGGGCCTTCAGGGTTTAGTCGGGAAGAGGAGGAGGATCCAGCAAAGGAGACCAAGGAGAAGCAGCCAAAGAGGTTAGAAGAAAACCAGGAGAAGCTAGTGCATCTGAAGCCAAGTGAGGAAGATGTTTCAAGAAGGTTTAAACAACTGCATCAGATTCTGCTGGAAGGTCAAATAAGATGAGGCCAGAGAACCGATCTCTGGATTTAGGAACATGGAGGTCACGGGCTCAGTGGCATGGTGGGGACAGGCCCCAGGTTGGAGTGGGATGAAGAGTGAACAGTGGTGGGGAAGGAGAGAGTATGCACAGGCAACTCTTGGGAAATTTTACTATGAGAGGGAGCAGTGAAATGGGCTGGTAATTGGAGTCATAGGGCCAGGGGAGGATGCTTTCTAAAGACAGGAGTTATTCGAGTATGTCTGTGTTGATAGGAGTGACATAGTAGAGTGAGAGAAATTGATGATGCAGGAGAAAGAGAAGATGATTTCGGGGGCAAGGGCCTTGATGGTGAAAGGGGGTAGGGTTGAGTGTAGAAGCCGAGGGTGGGTTTTGAGAGCAGGAGACCCCACCCACTGAGAGGAGAGGGGAGAGAGGATGGGAGAATGAGGGTGGTTGCTGGGGCTGGTGCTGGGGAAGGGAGGGTGTCCCTGTGCCATTAGGTGTGGGGTAGAGTAGGAGAGAGGAGAAGGGTGCACAGTCATCCAGAGAACCGGAAGGCTATTCTTGTGCTCTGAGGTCTGACCAGAGGCTTTTGGGCACCAGGGCCAGGCATAACCCTTGTCTATTTGTCTCCAGCACCAGCGTTGACTCCCCAGCAGGTGCCACCACCACCACCCCTTGTCCCCCTGGAGGCCACTGACAGCATGCTGGAGCTGCCACACCCACTTCTACAGCAGACCGAGGACCAGTTCCTGTCCCCGACCCTTCCGGGCAGCTCCCCTCTGATCAGCTTCTCCCCGTCCTTGGACCAGGACGACTATTTGTGGGGTCTGGACGGGGGTGAGGGCATCAGTGACCTCTTTGACTCCTATGACTTTGGGGACCTGCTGATTAATTGAGTGGCCCTGCCTGTCCCAGCAGCCCTGCCCATCTCTACCTCCTCACAGACAGACTGACAGGTCTCTGCCTGCATGGGGACATTGGACACGAGGTGCTGCCCTCAGGACGTGGGGGTCTCCTCCTCTCCTTTCCTAGCCCCCTGCTGGCTGAAGCATCTGGGGGGGATGTGGAGGATACAGGTGAGATGTGTATCAGGGGTTGGGTCCTGACCTTCCTGATGGAAGCTGGGCCTGGAAAGGCCCATCCAGTCTTCTGACCTCTGACCCCTCTGATGTGAAGGGCCCCAGGTGAAGTGACCAGGTCCAAGGAAAGGTCCTGGCACCGCTTTTTGAGGGGTAATTAGGACCCTCAATTTATCAAGAAGCACTTAATACCTTTGTATTTATTTCAGGTTGAGTTTTGTTGGTTTGTCTTCTCTGAGTTTTAGCAGGGAGATTGTTCTAGTTTCTAGTAAGACTTCTCCTCAGACAGACCCAGCACTGTCTACTGTCCAAGGGCAGGCCTAGGCCTGGCGAGGCCAACTCTGATTTCCCTGCAGTGATTGGGGGCTGGGTCTCTGAGGGGCCGTCTAGTTGGCTGGAATGATAATTGCACTTAGGCCTCATAGTTCTGTCAGCGTCAGCGGCCGCGGCTGCAGGCCCTCTGGCCTCTCCTCCTGCTCTCAGCCCGACGTCTCCAGCTGAGGTGCCAGCCTCGGGTTCCTGGTCTCCTCTGTCCCAGAGATGGTTCCAGGGGGCCGTCCCAGTGCACGCAGCATTGAGGCTCCTGAGGAAACAGGAACAGCCAGTTAAGGAGACCCCCTTCCTGTGGAATTCCTTACCTCTCCCCTTAGAATGTAACAAACATCCTCCAGGGAGTCAGCAGAGAAGAGCTCCTGTGGAAGGACGGGCAGGAATGTGGAAGCAGCTGTAAGAGCCGCCGCGGGCACCTGTCCTCCGTTTCTGCCTCTCTCAGGGGCTGTTGTACACTGATGACCTGGGAGGCAGAAGCAACTCCACCACAGGGAGGGGTGAGATGAAAACAAGAAACTGCCAGAAAGCACCCCCTCTGGTAACTGCCAGTATTGTCCTCCCATTCCCTGGAAGGATTTTTTTTGCCACGTTTGTTGAAGGGGGTGATTCTTTAAGGACCTCCCCTACCCTCCAGCTCTCCAGAGACCCCCAGGGACAGAGGTAACCAGGGCTTGATGGCACGTTGCCTCCTTTTGTCACAGGAATGCTGAAGGGGTGACAGGGAGGGGTCTTCATTGCAGACCAGAACTTGGCAGCTAATGGGGAGATGGGTTCATGTTACCTCTTCAGGCTTGGGGTCCTGAGAAGGTCTTTGGGCCTCACCCTATCCTCCAGAGGCTTGACCATCCCCCATTGTCCCTGTAGCCCAGCTGGGTGTGCGGGGGTCAGCTCTCCTCACCCGCCCAAACTGGGGTGGGGGTGCTCTGGGCTGAACCAAGGCTGTGCCTTCTGGACAGAGGCCGCCAGGGTGGTGGTCTCAGAGGCCCACCACCCACCCTCAGGGAGCTAGGTTTCCTCAGGGGCTCAGCTGGGCAGCACTTTTTTTTTTTAAGTTTGTAGCATTAAGTTGATTGAAAATATGAAGTTGGCCTCATAGGATGCTCCTGAGCTGACCAACTGGCAGCTAAGGTTTGAGAGGTGGGCTTCTTTGGGGGCGGGGTCCGATGTGAGCTAATGCCCAGCTGGGGACAGTGGTGCCTTGATATTTGCTCAACTAGCTGGGCCCCCAAATTAGCACCCTTTCAGGTATGGTCAGCATGTCACAGATGCCCTACTCTATAGACAGGGCTAATTTTGTATGATTTACGGAAATGCCTTTCATCTCCCTTTCCCAAATACTCACAAGGGTCTTATCAGAAGCCTGTTTTGAATCCCAACATGCCCAGGGCCAAGGGACCACCTTGGCCCTTGGGCGGGGGCAGGAGGTGCTGCCTGGGGTCTGGTTTGGGGCATGTGGGGATGGCATTGCTATTCTGAGGTCTCCACTGGGCTGCCATTTAGTGATGCACCATCTCTGAGGACAGAGATGTTTGACTTCCATGCCTTGGGCTGCCTAGAGCTTTCCCCTGGAAAAGAGAAAACAGGAGAGGCCTGCAGGACCCACCGGGAATGAGTTTAATGGTGAAATCTGGCCAGAATTCAAGCTCATTCCCCAAATGCCCAGCCATAGGGTTGGACAGAGGGGCTGCCCCTTGGGCCCATGGCCTGTATCCTGAGCAGCTGCCCTGCCCCCTCATACGCTGTCCTCTCCACACCCTGCCTGGCCCGGGAGCTAAACCACCCAGGCCAAGCCTCAGGCTCGGGGTGGGAAACAAGCTCATACCTCTTTCTTGCCAGTGACACTTGAAACCTCCCATGTTCCAAGTGCTTTAAGAATGCGTTTTGAGTGGTATTTCCTTTGGGGGGCAGAGAAACTTTAAAACTAGGGCAGAAGAAAAGCCAGTTTTTTCTGAGGTATGTTATTTCTGCTAGGAAATTTCCCAGTCCCACCAGCGGCCCCCAAGTGACCTGTGTTCCCAGGGGCATCCAAGGCTCAGGGTCTCCAGAGAACCCAATAGCATTAAATTGTTCAGTAGAGTTGGAGATTTGGAGATGTCTTAAGACCAGGGACATGCTCCCGTGTCCCCTCCCGTTAAAAGTGTTAGCTAGACCAGAGTGGTGTCCCTTCTCCACGGCAAGGCTGTGGTCTGACTAGTGTGGCTGTAGGGAAGAAGAGGGAGGTGGGGAAGCTCGTATAACTGGCTCTAGGATGGTTTTGACTTATTTTCCTCTCCCCAAGTGTTCTCAGCTTCAGTTCTGCACAGAGTTTAGAGTTTGTAGTGAAAGAGTTTGGGTGTTTCTGCATCCGAGCATTGTGTGGCTTCGTGCATTTGAAGTGAAAGCTTTTGGGGTTGTTTGCAAGCAGTTTTCTCGTTCTCATCATTGTGTCCCGTGGCCCCCAACTCATCCTGGGACCCTGTTCTCCCACGAGGACCCTCGGTGACCAGAAGCCTGGCCAGCCTACTGGCTCCTGGGTAAGTGAAGAAGCCTTGTAGGTGGCACACGTGTCTCAAGGGTGAGTGGGCCCTGTGCTGGGACTCTGTACGGGTCACTTACCTCTGGCCTGGTTTCGCCCTGGGTCCTGCCTTGATGAGCACCATGTAAACCTCCTCGTGTTGTGATAATCGGGCATTAAACTGCAACTCTGGGCGCCTTGTTTCTGTTGTGCTTTCTGAAGGTTACCAAGTGTGGGTCTGGTCCTCCCAGCTTGGGGGTGGGGACTATCCTGACCAACTGGCTGATTTCTCCCCAGAAACAGCCTCCCTTTCCCACATTGGTTTATTACCACGCCCGAAATCTCCCCATTAAGACACTGAAAAGTTAGCCGCCCCTAAAATCTAAAATGTGAGCACCTGCCCTGCTCTGCCTCCATCACCTCCCACCTGGGCTGTTTCAACAGCTTCCTTAATATTCTCGCTGCCACGCAGTCTCCATCCCATCCTCTACATCAGTGGTTCTCAATGTGTGGTCCTCGCTGAGAACTTGTGAGAAATGCATATTGTCAGGCCCCACCCCAGACCTTCTGAATAAGAAACTCAGGGGATGGGACCCAGAATCTGTCTTAATGAGCCCTCCTGGTGATTGTAATGCAGCTGAAGTTAGAGAACCCGTGCCCTCCTACCCCAGAGAGATCCTTCTAAAATGCAGCTCTAATTGTGTCACTCCCCTACTTAGTGGTTAGCTCCTCTCTGCCCTCAGGATGAAGTTCCCCCCTTTGCTTGGCATGAAAGGCCGTTTGCAACCTTACACCTGACTTACCCTCCTTCCCACCACCCATGGCCACACTGGGCTTCTTTGTCAGTTCCTCAACAACGTACTTGCCCTCTTCTGGGTTTTTTCACGTGCTGTTCACTCCACCTGGTGTGCCCTTCTCTCCACTTCAGCTAAGCGGGCTCCTGCTTGTTCTTCAAGGCCCAGTTCAAGGGCATTTTCTGCAGTTTTCCTTGACACTAACGCAACCGTGAAGACTTTGTACACAGATATGGTTATTTATGGGTTATTGAATACCTACTGTGTGCTAGGCACTGGGGAGATAGAAGTGAATAAGAATGGTCCCCATCCTCAGGATGCTCACAAGACAGACGTGTGAAAATATAATTACAAATGATGTGACAGTTGCAGTAATAAACATGGGAGTTGGAGGAGGAGATGCCCAAACTGTCTTAAAGGATAAACAAGAGTAGCCTGGAGTTCGGGTATATGGGGGATGGGAAACCTCCCCTCCAAGCAGAGTAATGAATACCTTCTGTCCTGTTGTCCAGCAGACAATGGGGGCATCGTGGAGCACTGCCTGTTGCCACAACTCTGCCAGTTTGGAGCTCTTGTCCTAGGAAGGCCCACTGGGCCAAAGAGATTGACGCAGATCCTGAGGGCCATGGGATGAGGAGACTAGGCTTGGGGGTCCTGTTAGACTGTAGGGGACTAACTGACTAATGAGAAGGGTCTGGAACTTGATACCAAGAATTCTGTTTACATGGAAGGCATGAAGATGATATCACCCAGGTGCGCAAAGCAAGGTCAGAGGTTTGGACATTAGCAAAGACAAGGGAACATCAAAAGGTGCCATTTAGGGACCGGCCCCGTGGCTTAGTGGTTAAGTGCGCGCACTCCGCTATTGGTGGCCCGGGTTCAGATCCCGGGCGCGCACCCACGCACCGCTTCTCCGGCCATTCTGAGGCCGCGTCCCACATATAGCAACTAGAAGGATGTGCAACTATGACATACCACTACCTACTGGGGCTTTGGGAAAAAAAGGAGGAGGATTGGCAATAGATGTTAGCTCAGAGCCGGTCTTCCTCAGCAAAAAGAGGAGGATTAGCATGGATGTTAGCTCAGGGCTGATCTTCCTCACACAAAAAAAATAATAATAAAGGTGCCATTTATTAAGACTTTATGTGTTCCTGGGCCCAGCACTGTGCTAAGTCCTTCACACATCATAGTTTCATTTAATGCTAACTTGATGAAGTCAGTTATTATTTTCATCACTTGATAGATGAGGAAACACTCAGTTTAAATAAGTTCCCAGGTAACCCTCATACTTTGCTGGTGGGAATGTAAAGTGGTACAGCTGTTTTGGAAAACAGTTTGGCAGTTCCTCAGAAAAATAACATATAGGACCCAGTAATTCCACCCCTAGGTGTCTACTCAAGAGAAATGAAAACATGTTCATACAAAGACAAGACTTGCACATGAATTTTTGTAGCAGCATTATTCATAATAGCCCCAAACTGGAAACATCTAAATATCCATCAAGTGTGAACAGAGACAAAATGTTAGATCCATACACGAGAATACTCTTCGGCCATAAAAAGAAGGAAGTACTGATACAATATGGATTCTCAAAAACAATATGCTAAGTGAAAGAAGCTAGTCACAAAAAATCACATGTTGATTCCATTCGTATGAAATGCCCAGAACAGGCAAATCTATAGAGACAAAAAGTAAATTAGTGGTTGCCTGAGATTGAAGGTGGGAAAAAGATTAACTGTAAATGGGCATGAGGGCTCTTCT